CTGTGAATATATTACCATACATGGCAAAGAGGAACTAAGGTTACAGGTGAAATTCAACTTGCTAATCAGCCAACCTTAAAACAGGGAGATTATCCTGGATTATCTAGATGGGTCAAATGTAGTCACACGAGCCCTCAAAAGTGAAAGACAGAGGAAGAAGAAAAGGTCAGAGAATTTTGTATAAGAAGGACTTAGCTTATCCTACTGGCTTTGAAGATGGTGGACAGGGGCACAAAGAGATGCTAGCAGTCTCTAGAAACTGGAAAAGACAAGGGATCAGTTTCCTCCCTAGAGACTCTAGAAAAAAGTGAAGCACTGTTGCCTCCTTGATTTTATAGCCCAGTCTGACCTGCATCTGACTTCTAAACCATAAAGCCATAAGATAGTACATTTGTGTTGAGTCACTAAATTTGTGGTGGCTTGTTACAGCAGCAACGGAAAACTAATACAGTATGCATACAGGTTATCCCACAAGCCCATAGACCGTCAGGCAAAATCATTTCATTTAGACTGGAAATTTATAGACTAAGAATGGCAGAAGAGAGCCAGGGACCAAGGAATCATTAACTCAACTTTTTTTTTTTTTAATATGTTCACTGTACCAGCTACAGAAATTACAGCAGTGGGAAAGAAAGCACAATCCCCATCCTCACAGAGTTTATAGTCCAGCTTAACTTTATATGCCCACACCTGAACTCCTCCTGATCTGCCCTTTTGAGCCTCTTCCCATGGTAGCCCCATTTCAATAAATAGCAACCTCATGCTTTCAGTTCAGTGGGCAAAGCTCATTGATGTCAACCTTGATTCCTTTCTCTCAAACCCTACATCCAAGTCACCAACAAATCCACTTGGCTTTACTTATACAGGGTACCAAAACCCAATCACTTTTTCCATCTCACTTTCATCTCCCTGCCATCATCATGCCCATGGCTTAGTGAACAGTTCTTAATTGCACTTCCTGCTTCAGCCCTTCCCTTTCCTCAATGTGATTTTTCCTCAACCCATCAGCCACACTGATTCTTAAACAGTGAAGCAAGTCAATAAAGTAATCTCTCAGCTCAAAACCATCCGGTAGCTCCTCACCTCATTCAGAGTGGAAGCCAGAGTCCTAATACATGACCTAGCCCCAGGTGATACAAGAGGAGGCTCAAACAAACCAATAAACAAAACAGGAATTATCTTTTGGAGGGCAGTCTTTTTGTATGCAGCACAGGCTTCCCCCATTAGGTGAATCTTCTAGGAACCCATAGGTATCCAGCATGGTTGGGAGAGATTGCGTTCAGCTTCAGTAAATTTCTTTTGGAGATTCCTCAACATGTTTGCCCATTTCATGATGGGTGATTTACGAGCACGCCAGCCCATACCACGCTCGTGTTCAGCAATTTTTAAACAAAAGCGGCATGATCCCCATGCCCACCCTTCCTATTTACCCAATCTTACTTGAGTGACTTTTTTTGTTTCCCTGGATGAAAAAAGCCCTCCAAGGGAAACGTTTAGCCACTGTAAAAGAGGTGAAACAAAAAACAGCAGAAGCACTAAAAAGCATCCAAATCGACAATTCAAAAACTGTTTTGAGCAGTGGAAAAAGTATCTCAATTAGTGTATTACATCAAAGGGATGCTATCCTAGGTGTTAGGGCTACAGCAGTGAACAAAATAGTACTTTGAAGATGACTGAAGTTTCTTTTTTGCTTTTTGCTATTTTATCTTGAGTTGGAGTCTCACTGTTGCCCAGGCTGGAGTCCAGTGGCATGCACACAACCACTGCAACCTCGACCTGCTGGGCTCAGGCGACCTTTCTGCCTCAGCCTTCCTGTAGCTGGAACTACAGGTCTGTGCCACCATGCAATAAATTTTTGATTTATTGTATAGATGAGGTATCGCCAAGTTGCCCAGGCTGGTCTCAAACCCATAGGCTCAGGCAGTCCTTCACCTCGGCCTCCCAAAGTGCTGGGATTACAGGCATGAGCCACCATGCCCAGCCTTCATTGCCATTTTATATGTGAAAATGGAGGCCCCCAAAACACAGGTGACTCTCCTGAAGGGACACAGAGAGTATGGGAGGGGGTCAGGTGTGAGCCCATGCAGCCTGGCTCCCATGGCCATGCTCTTAACCTCTGTGCTAATTATCCTTTGGAGTTCAGTGATGATTGTTTCCTGTGTTTCATTACCCATTAAACTATTTACATAGTGTGTTTACCTAGAAAGGTGGCATGATTTTATTATCTAGTCAACAGTTAATTTCAACAATTTCGGAATTTATATTTTTGAAATATTTTGCAATGAGTAGATCTGACCCAGATTTCCAGACTGTCCAGTGTACTCCATTCCACTTCCCAGTCTTAGCATAGTTTCAAATCTTGGGCAGCTCTTTTTTCAGAAGACTCCTTACCAGTGTACCCCTCTCCATATGCTAGCCCAGCTGCATTTGGCTTAAAATACTTGAAAAGACTCTTAACACCCCCTAGACTCATCCTACATACAACCCACCACCACCATTACCATGAATTATTCCACATATATGTATTGAGTGTCTACAGTATACCAGATGCTATCCTAGGTGTTAGGGCTATAGCAGTGAACAAAATAGGTGAAAACCCTTGTACTGGGCAAGCATACACTCTAGAGGAGGACAGAAAATGAACAAATAAAGGAGGAAAATAATTAGTATTTTAAATAGTGATAACTGAAGGTCAAGGTGGCTGGAGCAAAGTGAGTTAGGGAAAGACAAGAGGTGACTCTGGTCAGAGAGTTGATAAGGGTATATTAGTCAGCTTTGCTGCAATAATAAAGGACCCCCAAACCTCAATGACATATGAGGGAGACCCCCCCAAAATAGGAATTTATTTATAAAAAATTGTGAATTTATCCTTGCATGTTTAAACTTCAGTCATTGCCAGGCATGGTGGCTCAAGCCTGTAATCCCAGCATTTTGGAAGGCCAAGGGGAGAGGATTGCCTGTGTCCAGGGGTTCGAGACCAGCCTGGGCAACTTGGTGAGACTTTGTCTCTACCATAAATAATATGATAGTGATGAAGATAATAGTAATAATAAAATGTGGTTTATCTTGTATTTAGTAGTAAAGTATGGAAACTGCAGTTAACAATCATTTATTGTATACTTCAAGATAGCTGGAAGAGAAGCATTGTAATGTTACCAAAACAAAAGATAAATGTTCAAGGTGATGGATAGTCCAGTTACTCTGATTTGATGATTATACATCATATATAATACTAAAATATCACATGTACTCCCAAAATATGTACAACTATTATATATCAATTTTAAAATATTTAATGTGGTTAAGATTAAATTTTAAAATATGTGTAAAGTACTTAGAACTGTGCCTGACACATAATAAGCACTTTACAAATGGGAGCTATCATTATGACCATTTGAAAAAATCCAAAGGGAAAATGTTTACACGTAAACATAGAAACCCACACCCACACTTTGGTTAAGACTTTGCAATCAAAAAACTAGGTACAAAATAAAACTTGTGAAATTTTGACCTTGGGCTATGAAATAATATTCAATCTGTATTGATTTGTTAAAATGAGGCAAACCAGTCTAAGATAACTGAGTCGATGATGATGAAACTTGATTTCATTGTCTTCACAATCACTGTGTGAGGTAGGTTTTATTATTATCCCCATTAAACTGATGAATAAATTGAGACTTAGGGTAGATAATTTGCTCAGGGTCACTCAGTTGGTAAAAAGTAAAGTGTGTTTTAAAACCCTGCTGGTTAAACTCCTGAAATCACACTCCTAACCATTTAACAAAAAGGGACAAAGGTGAGCACAGACAGATGACCATGATTTGACATCACGGTGATGACCTTGGCCAGTGTTATAACCTGTAGAAACAGTTCTGTAGAAAGCTCTTGAAGGCATTCTCTGACAGTGCTAATAAGGCCTTCGTGGTTATGTGTTCATTAAGACAAAAGTACTATTTAAATTTATGTTAATCTAAAAAGTACAGCCCGGTGCAGTGGCTCACACCTGTAATCCCAGTACTTTGGGAGGCCGAGGCGGGAGGATTGCTCGAGTCCAGGAGTTTGAGACTAGCCTGGGTAACAAAAAAATTAAAAAAAAAAAAAAACCAGCCGGGCTCGGTGGCTCAGCCTATAATCCCGCACCTTTGGGAGGCTGAGGTGAGTGGATTGCCTGAGCCCGCGGGTTCGAGACCCGCCTGGGCAGCGAGACCTCATCTCTACAATAAATCAAAAAATCAGCTGGGCGTGGCAGCGCATGCCTGTAATTCCGGCTACTTGGAAGGCTGAGGCAGAAGGATCGCCGGAGCCCAGCAGGTCGAGGCTGCAGTGGCCGGGAGCGGCCACTGCACTCCAGTCTGGGCGATCGAGTGAGACTCCGACTCAAAAAAAAAAAAAACAGGCGTGTTGGCATGCACCTATAGTCCCAGCTACTCAGGAGGCTGAGGTGGAAGGATCACCTGAGCCCAAGTGATTGAGGCTGTAATGAGCTGTGATAGTGCCACTACACTCTAGCCTAGGCAACAGAGTGAGACTCTGACCCAAAATAAAACAAACAAAAAATGATGCATATATATGCACATTATGGCCTGTCTCTCCCGGTGACCTGTCTAGTCTTTGCAGCTGGGGCACCTTTTGGGGAGCCCAGTATAAGGCAGCACAGATCAATTTCCTGAAATGGGAACATCAGTGAGAAGTGGGTGAACTCGTGTCCTCTGTCGTGCTTCCCTGGCAGGGCCAGTGGCTGAAACTTTGAAGTTTTGGCAGGTCCCCACAGCATGCCTCAGCTGAATGACTCTGCTTGAACAGCAAGATTTAATCAGGAAGATTGTTGTGAGAAGCTGCTGGTCACAGAACACCCATTCTATGAAGAGACATGTTGATTTAGCCCAGGGAAAAACTTGGACAACATATTCTTGTTTGCTAAATGACAGTGTTTAATGTCTGAAATTGTAAACCAGAATTTACTAATGATATCATCTCTTTCTGCAGCCCAAGTCAGAACCATGGCACCCAAGAAGAAGAGCCCCAAAGGCCGAAAGAAAATGCGTGGCAAAAAAAGCCCAACCCCAATATTACCTGGTAGGATTGTTTTTTTATTTAATGGGATTTTTTTTTTGGTAGATTTAGTATTTGAACATATATTAGCAGCCAAAATGACCATGGTCTTACATATCAAATAAGATGAAATATTTTAGCTATCATGAAGTCAAATGCATATGGGATTAAGTACATGGAGATTAATTCTTTTTCTTTTTTCCTTCTTTTTAAGTCAGGGTCTCACTCTGTCACCCAAGTTGGAGTGCAGTGGCATGATCACAGCTCACTGCAGCCTCTACCTCCTGGGCTCAGGTGATCCTTTCACCTCAGCCTCTTGAGTAGCTGAGACTGAGGCAGGAGACTATAGGCATACACCACCAAACCCAGCTAATATTTTTATTTTTTTTGAAGATCAGGTCTCAATATGTTGCCTAGGCCAGTTTTGAACTCCTGGACTTAAGCAATCCTCCTACCTTAGCCTCCCAAAGTGCTAGGATTACAAGGGTGAGCCACTGCATCCAGTTAATCCTTATTTTTGATTCATTTCATTACAGTATCAATTTAATGCTATATAATGAATGCCAGTTTTTTTTCCTACTTAATTATTTGCAAGATAGTTTAAGTCTTCATGGTATACTTGCATCTATGTTTTGTGTTTGCGATTTGGTAAAAGATTGTAATAAACTAAGATATATATTTGATTAAAAATGTAAATTTGTCATCCTGTTATTATATTCCAGTTAGTGAAGAAGTGGAACCAATCAATATGGAGAGCATGGGTAAGTGGAAATTCAATTTAAAATTTATGTCCTTGGGTTTATAATATTTTAGTATGCTATAAGCAAGCAAGAATACTATAAATCGAAGTGATCAAAATGTACATGGGCTAAAATGACATTATTCCATTCATCTACAATTAAAAATTATAAAGAAAGAATAAAAATTAAGAGTAGAAAAGAGAATTTTAAACTGGGAAATAGACCAAGCAGTCCCTTAAAAATCCAATATATGATTATTGAAAGATCTTTGGTAACTATGGTGTGTTGCATACCTGCAAATTATTACTTTGATCAGAATAGTCTTTTTCAAACTCTGGCTCATAGGTAATGTGTATCTGTACTTCACTGTAAGATTCTACCATTTCAAGGAAAGAGGTTGATTTTAAAGCAAATCTACTAGAACTTAGACAACCAACTAGAACTTATTCCAACAGTAAGTTTTTGGGGTGGGTGGAGGGAAACCCTGTCTCTTAGAATTGACTTAGATGGCACACTTCACTTTTAAAAACAGAAAGGAGACCATGAGAATGAGGAGAAAAAGTTTTAAAAGTCTTATCGGCTGCTGGCAAGATTCTGGCTTTTGATCACTTGCGATGGGGAAACACTGGTGGTATTTAAGCAGAGAGGGCCGCCACCCAACTTATGTTTTTAAGGAGTCACCCTGGCTACTCTGTTGAGCACTGAACCAGGCCAGAAGCAGGGAGATCAGTCAGGAAGCTGTTGCAGCAATCCAGGAGAAAGATGGTGGAGCTTGGGCCAGGGTTGTAGGGTGGCAAAGATATGGAGTGGGGACATGGGGAGATGGCAGGAAAACATCAGCTAATGGTAAGCAGCCTGGAGTGGGCCATAGTGCCCAATATTTATTGAGTTAATGAAGGAACCACCCAGGAACTTAGGGGTCATCCTTGATTCCTTTCTTCCCCTCATCACTGCCCCACCTCATCCAAGCCATCCCGACTTCTGTCAATTCACCTTTGAAATATATCTCATACCCATCAGTTTCACAGCCTCTCTCTCCACCCCCCACCCCTTTGCCATTGGGCCCACCTTACAGTGGTCCTGGCTCCACCTTCCTCTCTGACCTTGTCTCTTCCTTCTCTTCCCCCCACCTCCACAGCCCACCAACGTTGCTTAGCCCAGAACATTCCAAATTTATTTCTGCCTCAGAGACTTTGCTTTTGCTGTTCCTGCTGCCTGGACAGAACTGCCCTTAGATCTTTTGCAACTGCCTTCTTCTCATCAGTGAGATCTAGACTCCAATCTCACCTCAAGAGGCCTTCTTTGACCTCTGTGTCACTTATTACATTATTTATTTATTACTGATTTTTGAGTTGAAGTCTCACAGGCGGGAGTGCAGTGGCATGATCATGGCAATCATGCCTCGTGGCAACCTTGACCTCCTGAACTCAGGAGATCCTTCAACCTCAGCATATTGGGTACCTGGAACTACAGGCACATGCCACTGTGCCTAACTAAATTTCTTAAAAATTTTTTTGTAGAGATGATGTTTCACTATGTTGCCCAGGCTGGTCTCAAACTCCTGGGCTCAAGCAATCCACCTGTCTCAGCCTCCCAAAGTGCTGGGATTACAGACATGAGCCACCGTACCCGGCCTGTTACCCTATTGAATTGCTTTCATAGGGCTTCTAATTCTGAAGTTAAAGTACAGTTGATTCTCATTGTTCATGGAAGTTCTAGAAAGTCCCTTTGAATACTGAATTAACCAATATTAAATTATTGCTCCTAGGGGAATTACAGGGCTAGGTTCCTGTGAGCCTCTGGCCACACATTTTCATCAGACCCTCAATACATAATCTTTTTTAGGTGTATTTCTGTTGAAAGACTCCTTATTTAACATATATTGTTGATTCATTAACACTGAACTCCCAGCCAGTGGCAGTACAACTCGTACCTGAACAAAGCTTATCTAGCATTCGTATTTTCTCCATAAAGTAAACTGCAGATTTCTTGAGCTGAGGAACACTAGACAGCACCTCTGTATTATGCTTGGGGATCATTTTAGGCAGCGAAATCACCAACAAAAAGCACCAAAAATGCAAGCTAGGTAACATGAAATAGAGCCCCCAAAAGAATTCTTGTACATAGCATGAGAACTGAAACAAGAAGGCAGTGCATTGTCTGACCTCGGCTGGGAACATGTGCAGTGGGCAACTCAATTTTTTTGTTACTCTAAGCATTTCCACTAATGACCATGAAAGTGCTGTCATTATTGCAGGGTTATAAGTAAATTCTAGCAGGTGAATTTGCAAAAATGAAATTTGTGAATAATGAGGATTAACTATTCATTTGTGTTTATGTATTTATGGTCTATTTACACACATACCCATGTTTTCTCTCTCTCTCAAACACACACACACACACACACACACACACACACACACACACACACACACACAAGATCCAGGGAAGCAGAAACTGTCTTGTTCTCTCCTGTACCCCAATGCCTAATATAGATCTTGACACACAAATAAGAATTCAGTAAATATCTGTTGATCAATTTACTGAATGAATGAATGAATGTCTTTCCCTATTTTTCCTATGTAGACCACCACCACTGCCACTGTCCTTAGTTCTCTTACCCTGTTTTCTCCCACATAGTACTCATCACAATCTGTATTTACGTATTTGTGTGTATACCTAATTGCTTAATGTCTATCTCCCTGTCTAAATTGGACACCCTGGCACTAGCACCAGGCTTGTCACATAGTAGGTGCTCAGCCAATATTTCTTGGCTGAGTTGACAGGAGAAAAATCCATGAACCTGACCATGAGCATGGTGGAGATGTTTTTGTTGAAAGTAAATGAACTGAAAAATAGAAGTAAGCTCATTTAAGGAAAAGAAAGAACTAACCTCAGTACTTGGCAGTGAGACCTGAAGGTAGGTTTTAGTTTAGCATCCCCTTATACTACAGCCTCGCTCCCCTTACCCCTGCCCTCCTCAGGGTATCAGGACCCCTCTGACTTCCTTGCTGTAGGGTCCTGACCTTGCCAACTGTTACTCAGAGCTGGTGGCTGCCATGCTCCAAGAGACTGAAATTCTCTTTCCTATCAAGAGACCAAGGTGTCCATTGACTATTAAAAAACTGTCTCCAGGCCTGAAGGAGCCTACATTCTCAGAAATTTCTAGAGAATAAATATAATTTTTACACATAGCTGACACTCATAGAGCAATAGCTTTGTGCCAGGCAGACTCTCTACGGGCTCATGTCGAGATGTCAGCAGGGCTGGTTGGCTCCGGAGGCCCTCAGGGCGAAATCTGTTTCCTTGCCTTTTTCAGGCTCTAGAGGCCGCTTCCTTCATGCTGCCTCAAGACCAGCAGCACAGCATCTTTGGCTCTTTATGTCCTCTCTTTCCCTTGTCACATCTCCTTCCTCAACTTTGATCCTTCTGCCTCCCTCTTAGAAAGCCCCTTGTGACCACACTCGGCCCACCTCAGGGACCCGACAAGCTCTCCATCTCAAGATCCTCATCTGCAAGTCCTTTTTGTCATGTGAGGTCACATATGCAAAGATTTCAGGAATTAGCACATAGACACATTTGGGGAGGCATTATTCTGATTACCACAAATAATTAATAGCAGAGACTTTGAAATTAGACAGGCCTAGTTTAAACAATAATTCCTTTACTTAATGGCTGTGTGGCCATAAATGACTTCACTTCTCAGAGCCTCTGATTCCTCATCTAAAATCAAGATAGAATATCTACCACATGAGGTTGTTGTAGAAATTAAATTAGATAGTACATGCACATTTCCTTACAGAAGGCTGTCACAAAGTAGGTTCATGTTAACTGTTATTTTTTTTTTTAAAGACACTATAAAGATAGAGAAATAGATCAATGAATAAAAACCAAAAACTAGACCCAAGTAAATGTGGTCAATTGATTTTCAACAAAGACGAAAAGGCAATTCAGTTGAGAGGGGATAGTTTTTCAACAAATGATGCTAGAACAATTGGATAGATGTATGCATAAAAGGTGAACTTCAATCCATATATCACATGATATACAAAAATTAACTCAAAGTGGATTACAGACCTAGTTGTAAAACCATATATAATAATACTTCTAGAAGAAAACATAGGAGGAAATCTTTGACCTTAGATTAGATACAACACCCGAAGCCATAAATCTTCTCAAGAATTTAAGAAAATATTTTTTAAAAACGTAAAGACTTTACCTCTATAGAATATCAGTCAGCAATGGAATGAACCATTGCTACATGCAACAACATAAATGAATCTCAAAAGTAATTAGGCTGTGTAAAAGAAGACAAACAAATAGAGGACATACCATGTACTGCTACTTATAAGTGTTCCAGACAAAGCAAACCAATCTATAGTGACAAGAAAGCAGATGCGTGGTTACCTGGGGAGGAGGGAGGTGTCCTGGGAGGAAGGGGCAGGAAGAAACATCCGGGGCCTATGGATGTGTCCTTTATCTCGATCGTGGGGATGGTTCATAGTTATGTGCGTGTATTTATCAAACGGCAGTTTTATTGTTTGGCAATTATATCTCAATAAAACTAGATAGCCACCAAAATACAAATAAAGAAGGCACAAATGAAATGTATGGGTGTTATTGAAATTAACTGTTTTTCAACATGCAGGACAATGTACATGTCATCTGTGGTTTACAAGGCACAGTCTTCCATCTTGTGCGCACAGGAGGATTCTGAGGCGTGGACTGTGTAGAATTCTGCCTCTGACTCCTGCTCTGACGGCTGCTAGGTGCATAACGGCCACTCCCTGCGTCCTGTGGAGTGTCATCTCTGTTCTCTCCCTGACCGTGGGGGGCGAAGGAGCAGGACCCTTTCCAGGGCTCTGCTGTGTCCACTCATGAAAGAGAAAACGTCGTACAGAGTTCAGGGACTCTGGTTTGATTCCCAGTTCCCCCCATTTCAGCTCCCAGCGGCTGACCTTGGACACATTAACTTGAATTCTGTGGGCCTGCATTTCCTCAGCTAAACAAATGGAGACAATTATGGTAACCCCCTCAGAAGGTGGTTGTGAAGACCAAATGGGTCAATAACATCCATAAAGTGCTTACACCTGTGCCTGGCAGGCTGTCCGTGCTCCACAGACGCAATTGTAATTAACATGGTTATTACTCACGCCATGGGCCCTAGCAGACCTTGTCCTCGTGACAGGCACTCCTGGTCCCGGTCAACTTCAGGAGAGCCCGAACACCTCCTCCTCTGCTCTAACGTGTTTCTCATGCTTTTTGGAGCAACCAAGGTCCCATTCTGCTCAAGGTTCCAATGACCACTGCTGTGGTCTGGAGTGCCGTCCTGGGCTTGCGCCTCAGAGCTTAAACAACAGTCATCTATTTATGGAATAGTCATCTATTTAGCTGGAGAACATTAGGGGTGGCCAGAAGCATCAGGCCTTGTCCTGTTTAGTTTGGTCATTGTACTGATGGACACGAAGATAGTAGGCTGTAGAAGTTCTGTGTAGCCACAACTGTGGCCCATTGTTTGCGGTTCTCATGGATTGCCAGCCCCACCTAGAAGGAGTCTCCTAGCTTTACTGACTTCTCAATAATGGAATGTTAGATTCTATATTAAGTTCCCTTGAAAAATGTCCAATTAGTGTGGAAGGATATTTTTGTAAAACATATCAAGGTAGTGGGCTTTGAAGTATGTCTTTAGCAGGGGCAAGAAACGGCACAATCTTTGTCACTATCTTTCCAGTTTTCGATGGCGGAAGACTTCGTGTCTTACTGAAGGCCTCTGTTTATAAAGACTGGCGACTGCCTTTCTTGGCACTAGGCAGTGTGAGTCTCACAGCTCCACCAAGTGGTTTTCTGATAAAAAATTAGAGAACTTTTATTGTGCATTAGACACTATGAGAATGACAGTGCGTTTTCCAAGGATTGAGTCAAGTCAGCAGTCACTTTACTGAGCATCTCATATGTGCCAGGTATAATGGCTAGCTTTTTTTTTTTCTTTTGGAGTCAGAGTCTCACTCTGTTGTCCAGGCTGGAGTGCAGTGGCATACTCGTGGCCACTGCAGTCAACCTGCTTGGCTCAGGCGATCTTTCCTCCTCAGCCTTCCAAGTAGCTGGGACTACAGGCACGCACCACACCTGGCAAATTTTTTGATTAATTGTGGATACTAGGGCTCGCCAAGTTGCTCAGGCTGGTCTCAAACCCCTGGGCTCAGGCAATCCTCTCACTTCGGCCTTCCAAAGTGCTGGGATTACAAGCGTGAGCCACTGCGCCCAGCCATGATTAGTATTTTGAGGGAAATGCCAATGAGTAGTTTGTTCCTATTTCATGAACAATTTGAATTCCACATGTTACTGCAATTTGAAATATATTTTCAGGCGGGCTCGGTGGCTCAGCCTGTAATCCCGCGCCTTTGGGAGGCTGAGGTGAGTGGATTACCTGAGCCCGCGGGTTCGAGACCCGCCTGGGCAGCAAGACCTCATCTCTACAATAAATCAAAAAATCAGCCAGGCGTGGTAGCGCATGCCTGTAATTCCGGTTACTTGGAAGGCTGAGGCGGAAGGATCGCCAGAGCCCAGCAGGTCGAGGCTGCAGTGGCCAGT